ACGCTGCTGAAGCAAGCAAGTCCATATACACCACTTGGAGGAGCCAACTTCACTCAACCTCCCTCCCTTTTTCAACTTAGAGGGCAATCCACAAGTTCAGTAGGCAGCCAGTAAATTTGTCTTCCAAAGAGATCAACATCTGTTTTCCTACCCCCAATAAATAAAGTAACTCTACTCTATAAATTCACACTGTGCATGGGTCTGAGACCTAGAATGGAAATGGAGATAGAATTTTTGTCCAATTTTAATGGCTTTTTAAAATTCCTGGGTAGCAAGTTTATGCTGTAAGAATCTATGAGCTGCGTAACAGTCTGAATTTGATCTGGTTCAAAAAATACTACCATGTCCTAAATTGCTAGGCATTATACACTTTCCAAATGTACAATGTCATCAAGGTTTTATGACATTTCCTACAAAAACTCAATAGTCAGGTAGCACTTCATCAGTTACAGTTTGAAATCAGGTATGGGAACAGAATTCTGTGGCTCTAGCATGAAAATTACTGCTCTTCAGACTGGTATCACAGCTACAGGGGACAGTTCACTAAACATTTTTCATACATGTATATTTTTGTCCCTACTAAAATAACTCCATATCTTGCATCATGGAGTTAAGAATATGAAATTAGGGCCAAAAGTCCATTTTGGATAATTTTTGTCTCCTTACTAAAGATTGATCAGAGTTGTCTTGCCACCTGGGGTTCTCCCTTCAGTTTCAGTCCCTTCCTTAAGTGACAAAAATGTTTAAATCTTCCTACCCATATGTGTCTACAGAACTTACAGAACACACAAGACATTGGAGACCCAAGGCTCTGAAAGCAAAACTTACATATATGAGGTGCAAGCCTAGCTCTGCCACTTTAAATATGGATAGGAAAGGAGCTTACCCAGTTCTACTGGCATCAAAACAGGGCAGGATGCCCATGAAGTAATGTTGCACCTCTGACATTGACATGGGTTTATTATTCTTCCATGCCAAAATAGTAATCCAAAGATTGTACTGTTCAGATCCAGGCCTTCTCTAAAACAGCCAATTGTGCTAAATGTGGTCCAAAGGGCCTCCAGCCTCAATGTTTCAGTGGCCCACTGGCTTCTCTATTATTTCCACAGTTTGAACCAGCTTCTGAATGATGGACATCATTTATTGGGAGTTAATTTCCCTTTCACACTGAGGGTCTAACAGCAGTCTTGTTCATTTACCATGTTGTCAGTGGTTTAATACCCTCCTATCAGTAAACACTTAGTTCAAAAACTGGAAGCAAACCCTCCAAGTATACATGAAACATTTTTTACATGATTCAAACAAACAAGATCATGATCATATTGCCAAAAGGAGCTATAAGAGACACCAATTTTATTACAGAGCATCCAAATTGGTTCCCAAACTTTTGAGTCTAGGAATGGAAAAAAGTTTACTATTTCTTTTCAAAATATTCATATTAGCAAAAGCGATCATTTGTCACTTATGCACTGAAGGTGCCATCTCACAATTTTACTGAAAAATCTTTTGTCAGTTATTCCTCAAGGGAAAGAACATTTAGTTTCAACTCTTGGCAAATGAGCAATTGGGACATTCTTCTTCAACTCAGTCTCATACCTGGTGTCATCAACATAAGAATTGAGATCAAAAGAAAATGAGGTTCATTCACTTAATTTGCATTAACCAATTTATTCTATTTACTCAAAGACAAAACAAATTCTTATATCTAGACTATGAGAAAGCTTATAATAAGCCTAAATATTTCTCAGTTCCTTGGATTTATAATTGCACTTGTCTCATCAGGTTGTAGTTAAGAGTAAGTAAATAGTGCTTGGCATGCAACATAAGAAATCCAGCAGGTCTTCAGCTCTTGTCGTCACTCATTGCTAGAGATTTTAAATGAAAAGTCTTCTCTTCAATCATTAGAACATGCTCTAATGTATGCCAATGTAACATTTCTCTATTAACCCCACCCAACAAAAACCCTTTGATTCAAGGGTCTTTACTTATCTCTGCCCAGGTCTCTTTCAGTTACCTATTATCAAGCAAATGGGTACTGTGAGATGGGAATCCAATAATGAGGTCCTTGTCCATGAAGATTTCAACAGAAATGAACTTATAATACAACCCACCGAATCACCAACATCTTGAGAGTTCCAAACAAATGCAGGATCTCTACTTTTAACTCCTTGGTGAAATCTCAATGATTTGATTTTTATCTAACTTTAATTATTCTATAAAATGAAAGCCACATTATTCTGTACATAATTATACCATTTAAAGGTTCTGGTTCACCATAATAGAACAGGAATGCACTGAGAGGAGATCTGATGTCTCTCTTTATTTGAAAAGCCCAGAGAACTCACTTATGAAAAAGCAGAAGTGTGGACAAGTAGGGGTCTGGATATTAAGAATTCATTGATAATCTCATCACAACCTCTCCACAGAAACAAGTAAGTACCAACTGTCATGGTCATCATTGCATGGCTCAGTCCTTGAGTCAAATTGGCAGGAAAAATAAAATTGCACAAGGGAACAATATGTAGAATGTGATAACACTACTTTATGTCTTTAACAAAGGGCAAAGGTCTATAACAAAGTACCATTTGAACAGAGGCCCAAAAGGAGAAAAGGCATGAGTCATGTGAATACTTAGAGCAGTTCTGTCCAATAGAAACATAATAGGAGCCACATAGGTAATATAAAATTTTCTTGTAGACCATTAAAAAACAAAAAAAGAAAAGTGATATAAATTTTAAAATTATATTTTAGCTCACCTACTATGTCCAAAATATTTGTATTTAAAGATATAATATAAAGATTATTAATGAGAGGTCTCACAATATACTTTTCACAATAACTCTTCAAAATCTGGTAGGTTTTTCACAATTACAGCACATCCCAACTCAGGAGCTTTAGGCTTATAGCTACCACACAAGGCAGGGCAAGTCCAGGGTGAGTGTCCCCATGGAGAATACTGTAAAGCATGAGAACATGCCTGATGTCTCCCTCAGAAGAGTGCAAAGGCAGTGGAGGCCAACATGACATGAGTAAAGGGGAGACCAGCAAAACAGGAAAGTCAGAAGCTCAATCATATAAGACATCATGGGCCCTTATAAAGACTTCCACTATTACCTCTGAGTGAAAATGGAAGCCCCTGGGACTGGTATAGCTTGATGGACCTGTGACTTGTACAGCAGTCCTGGGTCCCACACATGGTTTTATGTTCTGCTATTGCCATCTTGAAATTCTAAATTTTTGAACAAAACCCTCCACATTTGTACTGGGTCATGAGCTGAGAGGATAGTACAGTGACAGAGTGCTTGCCTAGCATATGTGAGGCCCTGGGTTTGATCCCAGCATCACAAAATAACAAAAAAATGTTCATTTGTACTGGACCCCACAAATTTTGTAGCTGGTTGTGAATGGAGAGTTTTGACCAGAGAGTAAGTTTCTATGTTGAGAATAGACTATAAGAAATACAAGGATAAATGAAGGAAAAACAGCGAGGATACTTTTAATATGATCTGAGTGAGAAATGATGATGGCAAGTGACACCAAGAGGATGGTGGCAAGTGTAGCTACAGCATAGTGTCCAGCAACATGCCTGCCTAGGGTGGTATCCTTGGCCCACCATTGATTTCCACTCAGTTTTCATAATGATTGCATGCTAATCTGAGTGCTTTATATCTTTCTAACCACTTTTGTCTTTCATAAAGAGCAGAAATTGGTTTCTTTTCTTGCTGACCCCTTTTCTAGAGGAAGACAAGGCACTCTATGGTTCTCCCTAAACTGTACACATCATTAAATGGGAATTACCTAAAAGAAATTCACAATGCTGGTCTCAGGTTGTAGCTCAGGGGCAGAGCACTTGCCTAGCACAGAGGAGGCTCTGGGTCCAATCCTCAGCACCACATAAAAATTAATTAATTAATTAAAGGTACTGTGTCCATCTACAACTAAAAATGTTTTAAAACAAAGAAAATCACAGTGCTGTCACAAAATCAAGGGCTCCTATAATGGAGAAAAGGAGCCATTGAAAGAAGAAAGAAAACAAGGGCCCTAATGAGGCTGAGTATCTTCTTGTTGGGATACTGTGGTTGGGATTTCTTATTCATTCTCTCTGTTGATTCAAATAAGTATAGCGTATAAACATTACTCTTCTCTCCAAATAATCTAAATGGATTTGGCAATTGCCATGGTCTGAATGTTACTTAATCACCAATGTGAAAATATTAAGAGGTGGAATCTACAAAAAGTATTTAAGTTATGAGACCAGAGACCACATAAATGGGATTAGCAACCTTATAAATGGGCTAGAGGGAACCATCCCATCACATGAGGGAATGGCATATATGCCCTCTAGAGGCAATATGATGGAAGCAAAGAGAACACTCTCATTGGACACTGAACCTACTTCTACCTTGATCTTGGACTTTTCTTCAGAACTGTAAGAAAATATATTTCTGTTTTTTTATAAATTGCCTAGTCTTAGCTATTTTGTTATAGCAGCAGGAATGCTCTAAGATATCAGGATATAACCAACCAAAGATTATGTAACTATAAAATGAATCTAAAATGCATTAAAGACCCACAAACTATACTGATCAACTCTCAAGAAGGAAAAATGAAAAATAAGCTCACTTTTGGGATTTAATTTTTTTTTATTCATGGGTGAGTGTGGAATCTATGGCCCCACACATGCTAAGCAGAAGTTTTACCACTTACCTAGCAGCATCCTGGCTCTACTATTTTATGTTTATATCCAAATTTATAAAATTACCTCCATGTTTAAGCTGACAAATGAAAAAAATCTCTATTCAGTTTTTAAGTGATAAAGTAAAAAATTCATTAGGCCAAGCTAAAAATGATATGATACAACCATAAGTAAAATGTCAATAACTAAAAAGTTTATACTTCCTAATCTAAAATTTTAAAGACAATTTATTTTCCATCTGCTCAAAATCTCTCTACATGACAAAACATGCATGATACCAACTCTCAACATGAAAGCTACTCACCTTTTTCTGAAGAACATTAATTTTTCTTTCCTTCACTTCTAACATATCTTTCATGTCACGAATCTCTCCAGCCAGTGTTCCCTTCTCTTCTGTGAGGTCCTGCAATTGTTTTGTTTTTTTATTGAGAAAAGATTCTTTTTCTTCCAGTCGTAATCTCAGTGCATCTACCTAAAATCAGGAAAAAGAAGGTTTTGTTTTTACCAAGAGGCTATCAATCACCATCAGGAATGCCCTTGCAGGGGTGGGTAGTAGCATGAGCTTCTTGAATACAGGGTGATCAACCCATTGCTCACAGGCACCTTGATGCCATATATTTTAACAGCCAGTAATCTACCTTAAAGTCCTATTGTGTGCATATATAAATGGAAATTTTTTTAAATATAAGGTTTCTATGAAATAAGACTTTATAAAATAGTAGTATGCTCCCATGTTTGCTTCCCTGCTTTCAGGAAACAATGTATTCACTTAGGCTGGGAAATAAAGCACATTAAATACTCCATGTCTGAGAGCCCAGTGAGGGCAATACACTCCTCACAATTTGCAGCATCCTCCAGATACATGGAGAACATCATGAGCAACTGGAAGAACAAGATTGACACATAGAGAAACATTCCTAAATCAGACAAATACATATTGCCAAGAGGAAGTTAGTGTTGCCAGAGGAAGAAAATGGTCTAGAAATTAAACACCCATCCTTTACTTATATGAAAAACTGTTTTCCAAATACTTAAAAAATCCTATTTCTACCTGAGCTCAAAAATTAGAAAAATACAATTCCTGTTTTTCACTAATATAAAGATAAAACATAAATTTTATTTTTATATTTAAGATCTTCTGAACCCTATGTGCAAAGAAAGTTTTGTTTCTATACTCAAATTCTAGATTATAGAAAAAAATCACTGGGGTGATAGAAAAAAAAAATGAGACAATAAAAAGAATATGAAGGCCATTAAAAGACCATTTGAAAGTTAATCCCCTATAGTCTTTCTAAATTCTACTATATTGGTCTATAAGATTGTATTTGTCTCTATGTTTACAAATACCCATTGTTCTAGTTTTAAAAACCAACTATGACACTTTATGTGAAGATTATTCTCATTAATTATTGTCAATAACAGACTGAGAATTCCGAGAACACTATTGTCAACTGAATAATCATATCTAATATGCTACTCCCAAGACATGTGCTTTTTAATTGTATTTTTTAGGCAGGTACCAAGGATTAAACCCAGAGATGCTTAGCTACTAAGCTGCATCCCCAGCCCATTTTTATTTATGTTATTATTATTTTTTTTGAGACAAGTTCTCAATAAGTTGCTCAGGGCCTCACTAAGTTGCTGAGGCTGGCTTTTAACTTAGGATCCTCCTGCCTCAGCCTCCCAAGCCACTGGGATTATAGGCATGTACCACCATACCTGGATTTAATTGGAATTTTTTTAAAAGACTAGAACCTTTTACCAAAAATTACCGTGCTGCCATTTCAGCAGATGCTATTGCTGAAGATGGTAGGGCTGACTATAAAGGATCAAAACAGAATTTTTGTTCTCTAAATTGATTAGGAGAGTAGATAAATAAAATACAGGATATGAATGTTTGTGACATTTCAAAAATCTTACATTGAAATTGAATTGCCAATGCAATAATATTAACAGAAAGGGCTTTTCAGGGATGATTAGAGCATGGGTGGGATTAGTACCTTTACAGAACAGATCCAAGGGAGCCCATTAGCCTCTGCCACCCTGTGAAGACATAGTAAGAAGGTACTGTGTATAGAGCGCCTTTGCCAGACTCTACATCATCTGGCACATTGAGCATGGATTTCCAAGTCTATGGAACCAAAAAAAAATTATTTTTATTGTCTATAAACTACTTTATTCAGATATTTTATTAAAACAGCTCAAATGGACTAAGATAACCACCATGATTTATTTTCTCTGGATCATTAAAGACAACTTCATATGTGATATATGTGGTTCCAGGAGTTATCTCTCCAGTGATCTATCATGGTCAGTTTGAGATAGGATATATGAAATAACTGTGGTTAATTCCCTTGGTTTGAACAAAGGATGTACCTTATTAAACCAAATAACCAAAATTAAATTAGATCATTAATGATTCTTAAAAATTTGTCTACAAAATGATGTTTATAGAAATGTTCATATCAGAATTATCTATAATGGATCATAATGGACACAGCCCAAATCTCCACCACCAAATATTACCATAGTTGTTTATCCTTTCATTTATCTGGAATAGTATCTAGCAATACAAAAGAATAAACTACAGGGCTGGGGTTGTGGCTTGGGCCAGGGTTGTGGCTCAGTGGCGGAGCGCTTGCCTAGCATGTGTGAGGCACGAGGTTCGATTCTCAGCACTGTGTATCAATAAATAAAATAAAGGTCCATTGACATCTTAAAAACTTAAAAAAGAAAAGAATAAACTACAGATACATGCAATGAAAAGGTAGATCCCAAAAGCAGGTTGAGTGCAAAGAATACAGAAGATGTGTTATATGATTTTATTTCCATTTCTATGAAATTCTAAAATTGGTCAAAGTAATGTAGGTGATAGAAAAGATTGCACAGCTGTCCATGGTGGGAGGTGGAAGGACTGGTTACAATGAGTCAAAACAGAATTTTTGTTCTCTAAATTGATTAGGAGAGTAGATAAATGGTATATTAAATGATATATCAAAACTCACTGAATTGTACAGTTAAATAATTCATATTTCAATGAAGTTGAAAAATTTATGAGTATACAACTAAAGATTAATAAATATCTTACAACAATCTCTTTCAAGAACAAGAGAAACCAAAATAATAACAACAGAACAAGCTGCAACCAAATTATCATATAACCCTTATGAGAGAAAGAAGGGAATAACAGGGTTTATATGGGCAATGGGGTACTGGGGTGATGAAAGGTTTGATTCTCACCTTCCATACCAAAAAAAAATCAATAATAGTAGCAACATAAATAACCATGAAGTTAAGGTGTCAAAATAACCGGGCAAAAATAATTAATGGGGATTGTTTGGAGGAAGAAGAAATAGGATGATGGGAAGTCGAGGGTTGCTGCATCTCATAACAATTTTTGTTGAATATTTTGTTTCTTTATGTTATAGTCAAGTAAAATTTAGATGGAAAGGAAAAAACTTTAAACATTGCAAGAATATTAATAAGCCAAAATAAATAGATATGTAAAAACACTAAGAAGACATAGAGTCAAACAACAACTTGAACAATGGGAAAAGAACACCCAAGGCTTTGGGTCCCCAGTTTGCTTCTATGTAGCTGTGACAATCAGGATGAACGACTCTCCTCAACTTAGCCTCCAGCCACAGCTTTTAGCCTTCAGCCACAACTTGTTCGTCTGTAACACAAAAAGGTTAGAAGAGACGGGTCTTGATGCCTAAAATTTTGTGATGTTGAAGGCAGGAATCAGTCTTTGGTAGACTATACCAGAAAAGAAGGATGATATTAAAGATATAAGTTATTGGAATAGAAACTCCTTTGTTTACCCTTTCCAAGCAAGGGGTTCCAATGCTTTATTTCTAAAGGTCAAAGTTGACATGGAGGTAAATGAGTAGTTTTTCCAGTTCTGGCCCAGAAAAGAGGATGGATCTGGAAGGCCTCATGAGGAAGGGGTGACAAAAGGTGTTTGAAGCCCATAAGGCATAAAACTACTGACCACACAATGAGAGAGGGTGAACACTCTGTGATCAGAGAGCCTGAGAACTACAGTTTCTTCAAATATCAGATAGCTATATCTCTTCTCACCTAATTATCATACAGATACAGGGACTGGGAAAGTGGAAGAGATACTCTTGTCCTGAGATTCTTCCCTTTCTTGAAAGCAAACCTATGCCAGGTACACCAAAGCTTAAGCATCTTAGTTCTAAAGTGGCTTATCTTTGTTAAAAGTTATCTTCATCTTCAGGCTTAGTGGTGCACGCCTTTACGGGGTATGGGGGGTGAAAAGTTATTTTCATCTACCAACCTGGAATAACAACACTATTTCTCTTTGGGTTTTCATCCTATCTGGTGACAAAATGTGTATTTAGCCTATGCATAAAGCATGGGCATTTGGTGAGGTTCTTGGAAATTGCCAGAACATGCTGAACACTTTAGATTACAGCAGTAGTTAGAAGTGGTTACAATCAATTATAGATATTTGCAATAGGCCTACTCAATGAGATTCAGAGAAAAAAATATGACTGTGGACCTCTCAGCTCAACATTCTGGTTATCAAAGTTGAATGGCCCATATGTGGACCTAAAATACATGCCCACCATTTTAACTGTGGTGCAAATAAATTACAATATGGAAGGTGGTGAGTGGTGCTGGAGAGAGTTTAGAAAAACAAAACACTCTTTAATGATGAATAATACACTTAATATTTGTAGCACCTTCTCTCCATGTGTGATCTATCAGGGTCCTGCTGCATCTTCCTGGGCAAGGAGATGAAAAGCAACCCTAGCTGTGAGAACATATCTCCTGGAATAAAACAGAGAGCAAGGATGGTTGTGATCAACAGACTATGCACAACACCCAAATTCAACATGGCAGGAGGGAGTCTGTGCCAGCTGAGGTCTTCTGTGTGGGAGATGATTTTTCCATGTGCTGGAAAGCATGTACTTAACTTCAAAGGAATTTGGACTATGCCCTTCAATCACCTTCTATCTTTAGAGCTTTACATAGTCTCCTAGAATCAAGATACAAAACTTGAAGGTCCTTTTTTATTTTATTTTATTTTTTTAACCTGAACTGCATCCAATTCTCAAACAATATCAGCCCAGTTTGCAGTAAGCAACTATGACATCATTTCTAAAGTCAAATTTGAACTTCCATATGGTGCAAAACCACAAACAGGCACACAGGCCTTCTGATGCGCAGAAGTCTGAAGATAAGAATATTAGGCAAGAAAGAATACATTCTATTAAAAATTAGAAAGAGATGTTCCAAACTGGGTATCAATGAGTTAGATTTAAGTCAGATTGAAGTTCTGACTTCATTCAACAATGTACATCATTTTAAAAAGAATCAGAAAAGCCTTCAAGTCTAGATTATATTCCAACATTGGGTAGAGACATAAAAGTTAAAATGTTTGGGAATAGGGAATACCTTTCTCTACCTCTTCACTCAACACTAAATAATTTTAAAGGCCCT